AAATGGCTAAACCTGCTGCTTTTACACAACTTACTTTATCAGAAACTTGAAAAATTATTTGTTTTAGATTGCATTTATATAATTTAATAACTTTTTATTTTCGTTAGTACTTAGTAATTTCTATGTCTGCGATATTAAATGGAAATATCTACTCTCTCTCTCTCTCTATTATTAACTACGTCAATTTATTGTATTGAAAAAAATTCAACTCATTTTGCGGGGTAATTTTTGTGGGTATGACGGTTATCATTCCTTTATAAATTGTAAGAAATTGTGAAAAGCAAGAAATGATAAAATCATTGTACTTAAATATTGATAATAAAATTATTGTATTGAAAAGTTAAGTATTTTATTTATTCCTTTGCGATGACCCGAGGCTCCCATTTTAATTCAGTTTCAGAGCAAAAAAAGGATATTGTACACACGTGGTCGCATACGGCGCACGACTAACAAACAATAGAGGAAGTAACGTCGGGAAGAGAGATTATCCTGCGATATCCTCAATTTCGTCAACGATATTTGTCCAAGCATTTTAAATAAAGTAACCACCTTTATATTTGCTGGTCATTTTTAATTTGATTTATTGTACTGGACACTCAGACGAAATAAAAAGTCAAGACAGAGCGCTGTCAACAATGAAGTGAAGTCGGTTTGGTATACATGTGTGCAGCACAGAACACTATTACTTCTATCGGAGGTGTGCAGTGTGCACTGAGTGAATGTTGCCGTGCAGTAAAATTTATTACCCTAATATATTATTGTCTAAGTACTATCAGGATGAATGGATACGTAAGAAGATAAGTTGGCAGTTTTTTTAATTGTATACCTCACTTTAAGAAGTAGTATGTATGTTTATTTCGACTAAGAAGGGGGAAAATAAAACAATGGTAATATGAAAGAAACATTGCTTTTATTTTAATAGCCTCTTTATTGGGTCAATTTTTTGTACCAATCCGTTACGTACCACACGACGAAGTCCTTTATTTGTGTAATAAAAATCGTCATCTTCAAAATGTGTCGAACAAACTACGCTACCGCACCGTTGGATACCACGATGGCTCATTCCGGCTAACTCGGATCACTTCTATCCACTTCTCTTTTTGTTCTTTTTTTTCCTTTTTTTTACAAATCTCCATTATTGTGTATGGGGGCCCCGGTTTTTTTTTTTGGGCTTGGTTTTTGTAAATTTATTTTTTTTTAATGTCTTTATTTTGTATGGGAACCTTAAAAATATAGATTTTTGAAGTGGTGATAAAACGTGGAAATCCAAAAAAATGCCTATTTACACTTACATTAAGTCTATGAATATTAAAAGTAAAATAGAAATAGGTAAATGAACGTGTTACATTAAGTTTAGCGTCACATTAATAGCTTACTGTATAAATGGGGACTACAGTGACGCTTACTAGTGGCAACACTTGTGGAGGTTTGGCGTAGTTTTACCGGCCTCAGTGCGATGTTCAGCGGGGCTCTGTCTTGAGTTTTTATTTCGTCTGAGACTGGACATGTCACACATGTTTCACTATGTATTTTTACGTGGTAGAGCCACGCTACAGCTTTGCTAGCTATACATAGTTGCACTGCGAATGGGTCGACTCGACTGTGTCAGAACAGCAACAACAGAGTAATGCTGTTGCGTTTCGTATGGTGAGTGCAGAGAACCGGAACACCTTTTACTTGAAACTAGGCATTCCATCTTAGATTGAGATCTGTAGACCATACCAGGCCTCTGTCACTCTTGCTACTTGCGTGAAATAATTACCTAAAATCGCGATTCACCCAGGGTGTAATACGCAGTCGGGGCTAGCGCGTTGTAGGCGATTGATGTATTTTTTAATGCTGTTTACGTAAATAGTTTTTTGTAAACACTTGGTGTTTAGTATTGTAGGATAAAATAGTTCAAAATTTTTTAATGTGATTTAAAAATAATATATTTGTATATTACCTATCTATTTGATAAATTATAATGGCAAAACTTCGAACGATAAATGCATAATGAGCAAACAAAAGGATTCAGATATATAATTTTTAAGTTACCTAACGATTCGATAATGAAAGGTACATTTGTTTCATATTTTTTGTTTAATAAATACTTATAGCAAAAAGAAATAAGTAATAATTTAAATAAATAAGTAATATCTAAATACTTTAATACAAAACTTAGTTGACATTTACGTAGGTAAATTGAAGTGGGTAACTTACATATATTTTGGAATTAAAATATTTTAAGTTATCACAAAGCACTGAAATTAAAACTTTGTTTACAAGATTTTTAACTAATTAGAATACAATCACATTTCATTTAGGAATCGTATTTCAGGTTCATTTGTTGTTTACACTACCTACCTATTTCTTTCGAGCGATTTATTGCGAATAGCGACGAGTGACCTTCCACGTTGCATGTGTTAGGTACAGAATTCGCATAGTAGCAAAAATATGTTCATTCGGTCAGTCAGAATAGGTACCTTGCCTATTTTACTTACTATTTCACAACGTATGAATAAATTAATTTTTTTTATTTATACTCTTTATTGCACACAACATATTTATACATTTATGTACAATTAGGTGGCCTCATCGCTTAACAGTAATCTCTTCCAGGCAAACCTTGGTAGCGTACGAGTAGCACTACATATTATTTATTGTATGCCTTGGTGAAGGAGATCCGTAAATAGAAGTTTGCATAAATAGTAGGTAAATAAGCATATATTAATACATATTATAAGCTTAATAAGTACCTTTTGTTTTTCTGTGCGGATATTATTGCCTGTTCCTATATTCCACTTAATTAAATGTGGAATCAAATCACCTTTGAAAATTAGCGTGAAATTGGAGACGTTAGTGATTCTTATTCATACCTATATTGTATACAAATTGTTCTTGAGTATTGAGTTGTTCTTGAAATTCATGGTATTCACTGCGATTGCGACTAACGAAAACTATTTTTATTATTTCTGGTTAGTATACTGAATATCTTTTCATATTTTTTACCAAAAATAAATCGACGACTTTTCCGGTACTCCATGTCCATGTTTTCCTTTTTACTATTTATTAAAATTATATATAAGATTTAAAAGTTTTTTCAACTCTTAAATTTAATAACCGGTATTTTAGAGACGGAAAAAATATAAAACATTATATTAAAGTAAAACAATTGTAAGTTACATAAATTATTAATGTTATACATACTGTATTTTTACTCTTTCTTGACAGCCCTAAGTAACCACAGAAAAAAGCCGTTATGTGGGAATGGGAAAAGATGCAAAGTAATGCGGACACTCGCGCGCGGCTATAAAGGTTTATTTAGCATGCGTGCGCAATTTATTTTATTAATAATTATTATGTAGGCTATTAAACGTCGGCAAGCAGTTAATATCAAAAGAATGAAACTTCTGTACGTAGTACTATTATTTATTATGTGCCCATACTTTGACTTGGCTTAGACTTTACGTACGCAAAACTTAGCTGAGCACATGCTTAGCATAATCTTTGATTCTGAATTTATAGTTTTATATCGCGCTAAGATTAAGCTATGCTTATAAAATTCAAAACGATACATCTTCATTTTTATTCTTTATCGAAGATGGATGTAAATGACTATATCTATAGAATTCGCTCTTTTTAAAAAAAACACATAAAGTAAAACAACTAACTTGTAATCTTATTAAATTTATTAGCATACAAATGTGTGTACACATTACACTTCCGGAACATATTCTTTCATTTCTCCCCAATTTCTCCCATAGCTCAAAACAACTGGCAATACCATAGGCATGCCACACTCGTAGCCGCAACCTTCCATTGCTGATTTAATAATTTCTTAAAAGAAATATTTGCTTTAGTCACATACTTAAAAGGGTACTCAAAATAATCAATATAAAAATAAGAAGAGGTAAGAATACACAGACAATTTAAAATAACATAAGACACGATGCCTAATATAAAATTAGCCTAATAAGTTTGCCTTAACTTACGCCGTTTGACGTTACCAATGCCCCCTCAGACAAGATACGATGCTGTTAACTTTTGTGTAAGTGTGTAGTGGCGGGATAAAGATATCTGCTACCTCACATCGACCCGTGAGTATCGTAAGACGCGACACAGGGAAACTGCGACAGGACATGGGTAGCAGCATTTTCTTGATACCAATCTAAAGTACGTGGTAAAGCCACGTTGCAGCTTTATTATGGTTGTAGCTGTAGGATCGGCTCGACCGGGGAAGGAGCACGTTTTCACAGAATATCAGCGTAAAAGAGCACCTTAACGCTGCTGAGTTTCGTATGGTGAGTGTAGAGAAATGGAGATTTTTTTTTACTGGGATCGAGGCATTCCACGTTATTCCTCAAGGGTGAAAACGCATCTGCATTTTGATTTTTAATCACACAGGCTACAACATCCACTTACTATTAAGTTGGCTGTGTGCTCGTTTGTCACCCTTATCCTATAAAAAATTCTGGACATTTCCTCTCATGAAGCAATCTTCAGGGTAGACATATGTCCAGGAGCGGGCTTTAGACTGTAATAGACGGACGGATTACAAGTGGTAAAATTAAAATTTTGTACAACCGACTTTAATATAAATAAAATGACAACATCATCAATGTAGTCGAAGTCAATTAGATACGTATTATTAAGGATAACTTAAAAAACTACTAGTCAAATCTTGATCATATCTATATGGGACTACACGAATACCAGCTTTCAAATAAAAGAATTTACAAAATCGGTTCATATAGAAAAAAGTTCTGAGTTAACACACATAAAAAATATTCAGTAGAATTGAGTAACTCCTTTTTGAAGTCGGTTAAAAATAAGTGAACCACAAATTCATTAAATCTATAGAGCTTGGCAAATCATCTATTATTCGCAGTGTTATCACACTTGTAAATTAAAACAAGGAATGAACGAACAAACATGCAGAAATAAACCCAAAACCAACTACCCTGGACCAGTCAGATTGAAAGAACGTTTTAATATAACAACTAAGTACTAAAGTCAATTCAAGATGAGATCAGTATACCAGCAGCTCTGTTGAGATCCTCATCCCTAACCTCCCAGACCAACTCGTCGTGTATTTGCAACAGCAAATGGAGATCGATAGGGGGGTCATTGTTCCTCAAGTACTGTTCCGTTTTCACCATCGCCATCTTGCACAGATCAGCTGCCGAACCTATGGTGTGTGTTAAATAATGCAAATGCGTGAATATTAAAAATATACAATTTATACGTGCTATCGAACATGTATACATAGCATTATTTTGTATGTGTACATATCTTAAGTTTCTGCACCTTTTTTGTTATACGAGTGCAAATTCATCATCAATAATTTAAAAAAAAACGATGCATTATCTGCACCCAGCGTGAACAGTTTTATTAATGAACATAGCGGATCACATTTACAATAATTAAGTATTATAAAGTGTTAAAGCAACACCCTACATTTTTTGCTCATACATGTGCGATAGCTTGTACACAATAATACAAAATTAAAATTATTTACTTCTGTGAATATAAAATTAAATTTGGTCACCAATGTACAATAGTTCACTGCTAGATGCAGACCTCTTCCAAGTTCGGAAAGTTTAGCCGCCAACCTTGCCCGATATGGCAATAACACCGGTCCATAGTAATATGTACATTATAGTAATAGGTGTGGGAGTGAGTCAAGCTTAAAATTTTTGTCTTAATTTTCTTATAGAAGAATGAGCAAACGAGCATGCAGCTCACCTGATGGTAAGTGACTACGGGCGCCCATGTACAACTGCAATACCAGAGGAACTGCAGGTGCGTTGCCGGCCTTCCATCTGCCTATAGAGTGAGTAGATAGGAGTAAGCTCTTTTCTTGAAGGTCCCTAAATTGTATCGGTCCGTTAACATCGCCGGTGTTAAACAATTCCACAGAGGGGTCGTATGAGGAAGAAAACTCCTAGAAAAACGTACAGTGGTGGACCGAAAAGCATCCAGATGGTTTGGGTGGTATCGTGAGTTTTGACGCGACGTGCGTTCGTGAAATTTGGCGGCTGGAATTAATCCGAACAATTCCTCGGAGCACTCCCCGTGGTGATGCGATAAAAGATGCAAAGGGATACAACATCTCTTCGCAGTGCCATTGGATCGAACCAATCGGAGAGGACTCAGTCGTCAACGATTCGAGCCGCTTTGCGCTGGATGCTGTCAAGTGGAAGGAGCTGGAACTGGGGAGCCACGGCCTAGAGATGGACACAGTATTCCATGTGAGGTCGAACCTGCACCTTGTAAAGTTGCAGGCGGTGTGCCGGCATGAATTCTTTTTAGCGGTAAACGCGCAAACTTGCATCGTCTGGAGATTGAACTGGACTAGATTTAATCGCCCCCAATTTTCATAGACTTCTTTCAGCAAAGAATCGAATTCAGACACAAGTTTGTTCCGGTACTCGGCGACGTTTTCCCGAGAAATATTGTCATGGCCGGTGTATAGAGCATCACCAGTGCTGTCATCCGCAAAGCAATGAATATTATCGATTTGCAACATATCATTGATATGCAGAAGAAAGCGTTGGTGATAGTACGCAGCCTTGTGGAACACCAGCATTAATGGGCTTGTAATCGGAGCATGCACCGTCTACTAAGACCTTGATGCTCTGATCTGCAAGAAAGCTCGTGATCGAATTGCACAATTTCTCGGGAAGCCCATAAGATGGAAGCTTCGAAAGACGCACTTTGTGCCAAACCCGATCGAAGGCCTTCGCTATGTCCAAACTAACAGTCAACACCTCCTCCTTGGACTCTACTGCTTCCGCCCATCTATGAGTTAAGTAACTCAGATGATCATCAGCTGAGTTACCCCGACGGAAGCCGAACTGACGGTCACTAATCAGCTAGTGCTCTTCAAGATACCGCGTGAACAAAAAATAGCAGTTAATGATCGACTCCATTATGTTTGAGAACAAGGAGGTGATGGCGATAGACCTTTAATTGGACAGATCAGAGCGGTTACTTGTTTTAGAGATCTGGTGCATGAAAGCTGTCTTTCACGAATTTGAGTCTACGCATAGGGAGTAGGAGTACCGGAAAAAACGCGTTACAACCGGTGCCAAATCTGGATCATACATCCTCAGCACAATTAGGAGGATTCCGTCAAGCCCACTCGACTAGTTGACGTCCAGGACTAATAGTGCTTTGCGAACCGAGCGCTTTGTGAACCGCACATCTGGCATGCGGTACACATACCGCGTGATGAATGGTGGTGTGCTCCCCCTGTCATAGAGACTCGAGTTGGACGCAAAGAGAGACCCTAGCAGATCGGCTTTCTCCTTTGCCTCATGGACTAGTGAGTCGTCCTCTCTGCGCAGATATGGGACAGATGGCTGGCAGAAGTTCCCTTGGACAGCCTTGGCGAGAGACTAGAACGCACGGGAACGGGAACTTCCCGAAGGAAGACGAACTAATTTCTCGCCAATTCTACCTGTCTCTGACTTTGCCTTGGCAATGGCTCTTGAAAGACCAGGAGGCAGAATTATACTTCTTTTTAAGGGCGCTGGTGTTTACATCCCGAGCCGCCGAAGTGTCAGCTCAGGCCTGATAACACTCCTGCTTAGTGCGTAATGCATTCAGGAAGATGGTTTCCGATGGGTACCATAGATGATGAAATAAATCATGAAAGTTGCAACTGCAATGGATGGTCAAATGCAGGTGGATTCCATATACACAGATTTTTCTAGTGCATTTGATGTCGTGAACCATCAATTGCTTATATCTAAATTAAATTCATACGGTGTGCATAGGAATTTACTTCGTTGGCTAAGTTCTTATCTCAAAAACAGATAAAGTGTCGTATAGCATGGATATAAGTCTAATGATTATGTGGCTGTATCAGGCATACCACAAGGTTCACATATTGGTCCTATTCTTTTTTTGGCGTTTATTAATGATATAATACATAACATTAAGTACAACCACTGTTCCATTTTCGTCGACGATTTAAAATTGTTCAAGGCTGTTAAAAACCAGGATGATGTTCGATCTTTACAAAATGACCTTGATGCTATCCATGAATGGTGCAAAAGTAATAAAATGAAACTTAATGCTCGTAAGTGTACCTACGTTAAATTCACAAAGAATAAATCTACTGTTAAATCTTGTTACTTCATTAATAAAGAGGTACTGAGTGAATCTCCATCCACCCGTGATCTTGGGGTCATTCTTGATAACAAACTTAGCTTTATAGAACATATAGATAATGTGGTAACGCGTTCATGGAAAATGCTAGGTTTTGTCAAACGTACATGTAAGGATTTCAAAAATGCTCAGACTCTGATAACTATCTATAATTCATTGATTCGAAGCAGCTTAGAATATGCCTCGGTGATATGGAATCCTCCTTATAAAATTCACATTCACAGAATCGAGCGTATTCAACAAAACTTCACTCGATTCATTGCATATAAAGTTCAAAACTGTCCATACTATAACGATTATAACTCTAGACTTTCTCATCTTGGAATGAGTTCACTGGCGGACCGACGAAAGCTTTTAGACTTAATGACGCTACATAAACTTCTACACGGTAAGTTAATTTCGCGAAGTTTACTGCAGCAAGTGTGCTTTAAAATCCTCTATCATATTCCTAGACACCCAATTACTAATTTGTTCAATATTCCCATCAGTAGAACCAATTTAGGCAAGTTTTCTCCGTTAAGCAGATGTATGCGAACTTACAACAGTTTAAGCAATCATGACATCGACATCTTTAGCGACGCCGAACGTGAATTTAATAGAAAATGTAAAGACTTACTGTTACCTGCCTTGCCAGACTAATGACTCAAAATTATTATTTATTGTAATTATTATTGGATGTGGTGCTTTTACTGATTGATTAGTTTAATCCCTTTTTGTGTTAGAGTTTATATGTTGTTTAGGTTTATTTTCTCTTATATTGATGTATGCGCCTGCAAAGACATATCCTTTATCTAAAAATGTAGTATTTTGATTGTAACAATGTTTACTGATATTGTCGATGGTGTATCTATTTAAATAAATAAATAAATAGTTCCATTTCCTGTAGCACCACATCAGTGATAGAGTCAGCAACAGTGCTGGGATCATCTGGCGAGAACGAGAAACAAACCCGCCCCTCGGGTAGGATGCAAAGAAAGACCGCATTCCGTCCCAATCCGCCGACCTGATTTACCAAACACGATGACAGCATGCAGAACTAAATAGTAAAATAATACCATACCATCAGATTCCTTACACAATAGACTTTGAGCGTAGCAATTTTTGAGTTGTGAGTCCAAGAAGGCACAGGTTCAAACCAGTAAAAAGATTTCTAGACAGCGTCAAACATTTTTCGCAAGATGAATTGGAGACAACAAATTTTCACGGTGTCGCAGATTTTCTGGGATGGGCCCATGTCATAGACACTGCTGCCCGTTAATGAAATTTACTTTGTACTTTTCGTGGAACTCATGGATAAAAATGGAATGATGGAAACGGATTTACTATTATTATACAGTATTATAAAAGCATTAGAACCTTGTATAATGAAATTAATCGCTTTCCTTTCTGCTTGCGCTTTGGTGGTAAAGTCAGTACTAGTGATGTCCTTGAAATATCTCGTTCTGCCGCACGGCGTACTTAGCTTGCCATCTCGCTCACACCGCGACACTACCGCGCGACCGAAGCTTTTGAGCGACGGGAAAGTCCCTAGCGATGTGAGTTTATGTGAGCAACACAATTACAAATAAATCTATTTTTATAAAATTTTGTGCATTAATTTGTTACTTGTATAAGACCTGCCATTACTTAATCCTTTCCGTGTCACACAAATCATAAAATGTACATTTCGATTGTTTAACTATTGTGTCTGTTTCGTGGATAGGGAAACTGTTAAATTACTTTGACGGGGGAAGGCCCACATAGGAATGACGTAAAATATTTGACTTCATGGCGAGGAAAGTTAATTTGTTAGAAAAGTGTAGAGATTAATATTTCTTTGTGAATATTATATTTTTATTAATTAGATTGGAAATGTATAAACTTAACGACGGATATTCTTAAAGTAGAAGAATTAAATGGGTAAGTTAAAAGAATACAGCAATGAGGCGTTGTTTTGTCTATATATAATATATATAAAACGAATCCGTTGTCAAATAATTAGGGAAAATGTAAATGAAAATGGAGCTCGTACTGTGTTCAATAAATAAATTATTTTAGAAGTCTAATATTTATGTGAACACTACACAAGTAGATTTTTACGGATTTTATCGCATTTAGGGCTGAATCTTTAGTTAAAAGTTATAGGATATACTGCGACATAAACAAATCAGCACAGTTGTATGATGATATCTTATATTTACGCGAACACTACACATTCAAATAAAAGTAGTTTTACGGATTTTATTGCGTATATTAACTTTTTTTACATTCCCGACGTTTCAAGCACTTTACAGCACAGATGAATAAAATTGTTCGATTGTTTCACTTTTATATTCAGTTATAACTTACTTGCAGGATAACTTTTATCCGACGATTGAAAAATCCGACTTTTAATTAACTTATTTAATTCCATATTTTAAAATTTTAAGCTAATTTTAATTTTAATCTGAAGTGAGCTATTGTTAACAATGACTATGTAACGTCGAACACTTCAGTCCCCCCTTGACCATGTTTGATACAAATCGGAAATTAAAAATATGTTAAATTAAACGCGATAAAATTTGTAATATTAATTTTATTATACAAATATCAAGTATTCGTGTAGATATACTGCCTCGTTGGTCTAGTGGTTGTAGTAGTGCGACTGCTGATCATGAGGTCCCGGGTTCAAATCCCGGTCGGGCAAAAATCAATTATTAAGTTTTTCCGTCAAGAAATTCTCAGTTGCTGCTCGCAATCAGGAAATTGGCGGTGTCTCACCCCCGTGCCTCGGAAAACACGTATAAAGCCGTTGGTCCTGCGCCTGATCTCTCTCCGGTCGTGACGGTTTACCTTCCCATCGGACTATGAGAGTGAGGGAATAGCACCTGTATTTTTACGCAATTCGCATTCACACTAAAATCCTGTCCTGCGCCGATGGCTATTTTCCGTTGGGGCAGGCCGCCATGACCGAAATTCAGTCTGGAGGACATTATTATTATTCGTGTAAATATAAAAAAATCATTATGCGATAAAATTCGTGAAAGCCTAGAACCTAACCCATTCAATATATTATTATTGAGTTGCTGACGTCCAGAATAAATAATAAAATAATTACTTCCACCATCACCACCAAAGTCTAAAGTCCCCCGCTGAACAAAAGCCTTCCCTTAGATTGCCACATCAGGGGGATTTGACATAGTTGGCACGCTTGGCAGGCGGATTGGCAACCGCAAGTTTTCTTCGAATTCGCTTATTACATAGGTCACTCAATAAATTATGAGATGCTCGAAATTTAAAAATGGAACGCACCCGTGTTATATGTTTCTAAAAAGTATATTTATTTAAAAATAGATATCTATAAGCCAATTGCTCGATATTAAAAAAAAATTCTATTAATTTTCCTGCAACGCTTCCCGCGCTTTTCATTTAATACGATGGACTAAACATTTGCGCGCTATGATCTATTATGATTTTAAATTTGGTTTAACCGAACAATTAAGTTTACAACGTTCACAATCAGCATTAGGGGACTCAGCTCCATCACGCGCAACAATTTTTAGGTGGTTTGCTGAATTCAAAAGGGGTAAAATTAACCTTAAAGTTGACCAAAGAACCGGGGTCCCGCCAACTTAAGTAACGGCAGAAAATCTATGGACTACTGAAATGTTGGTGCGAGAAGACCCACGAATCACATATACGGACATCGAAAAGATTGTAAGCATTGGTTCGGGGAGCATTCATACCATACTACACCGACATCTTGAGCGAGGAATCTTTGTTGTCAACGGATCCCTCGTTCGCTCTCCGAAAGTGAAAAACAGACTCGTCTGGATTGGTGCCATGAAATACGTAATTAGCTCCTTGTGATTTCTTATTGTTCTTAAGAGTCAAAGAAAAAATAAAAGGCAAGTTTTTTTCAAGCGCCGAAGAAGCCGTGGCTGCCTACGAAAAAGCGATTTCCGACCTGTCAGATCAATATTAGCAAAAGTGTTTTCAGAGTTGGTTAAGGCGAATGGTACTTTGTATAGAGCATGATGGAGAATATTTTGAAAAGATGTAAAATGAATATTAATAGTATCTAGAATACTTTTTGTATATCTCAAAACTTATTGAGTGTCCCACGTAGTAATGTATAACGGCTTAGTAATATTTTACACAAGTGAGTACACAACGCACTGTTAAAGCTGGTGACAACTGAAAGCGCATGCTCGTAGCCCAGCCCGAGAACGTCGGCCAACTTGTTAACTCCAGCGCCGTACATACTTGCGTACACTACTCGCTTAGTACGCTCGCGCTCTTCATTTGTTACCTCGGATCCTGACTTGTTAAGCCTTAAATAATGCAATAAAAAATTCTAAATAATAAGGAATTTTTCACAAGAGTAGCCAGTGTGACATGATCAAGTTTTCGTGTAAAGGTTTGATTTGAAAGACAGACTGTAACAGCCAATCATAAATCCCCTGCTGAACAAAGGCCTGCCCCGTAGATTGACTCATATGGATTTGCCATAGAGACCACGCAAGGCAGACATGTTGGCATATTTTATATGTATATCATGTAATAGTTTAGTTCAGGGATGGCGAACCAATGGCACGCGTGCCATCGGCGGCACGCGCAATATTATTTTGGTCACGCCACCGATCACAAAGTTCATTATGAAATATTATTTTACGAACGAACGCGAGTGATCCTAGTTACATCGTGGACTACCTTTGCTAATGACGCATAGTTCGATTCATCATCGTAATAATTACAGCCCTTCACAAGTCCACCCCTTCCCCAAGGAATGCATAGTTCGTGTACGCATAGCATAATAGTCAATATCCGTGGTAGCTCAGATGGTTAGCGCTTGCTGTAGGTAAATACCACAGTATGCGAAAATACCGGGTTCGATCCCCGACGGCACCAATGAAATTGTTAATTGCAATTTTAAGTGCTGATTTACCACTTGTTCGGCGGTGAAGGAAAACATCGTGAGAAAACCTGCATGTCTGAGAAATAAGAAAAAAATATATATTTCAAAGATATGTGAAGTTCGCCAACAGGCATTGGGGCAGCACGGCGGACACTTCCTTGTCCTAAAATCCTCTCAGAAATGAGGGGAGGCCTGCGCCGAGCAGTAGGACGTATATAGGCTACAGCCTATATACGTTCCACTGCTGGGCACATTACTTTACTTTAATAGTCAATTTCGTTAACACAACTGTATTTAAAAATTCATTTGTGTTATATTTAGGATTTTACTAACATAAGTTATTTATCACACAACAGAAGTCACACTAATTTTACTTTAAATTCAATTACTGAAATTTTTATTATTAGACATTGCAAAATGTATTTTGCAATGGATAATAGTAAATGTCTTAACTCAACACTCTTTATTTTTTGTAGTAAAAAAAAAAGTTTTCATCCGATAGTATTTAATACTGTTATTTTCCCCATAATCACGAAGTCAAAATTATTTTGCGGCACGTCTATTACCTAATTAAACATTCTTTTTGAAAAATGGCACGTTGATACATAAAGATTCGGCACCCCTGGTTTAGTTGTTATAAGGACTGCTGCCCAACTCCTGGTTTGTTTCTCTCTGTCGCCTCTTACGACACAATATGGGGTGGTGCATATTCCTACACGGCCACTACTATAGGTAGCGATCACACTAGAATTACAAAATTGATTTGAACATGTACTAAATTTTCCAGCATACAGGGAGTCCAGATATACAAGTTGTCGCTGTGAGGAGGAGTGTTTTGGTTGTTAAGGTGCCCGACTTAGTACAGTATAGCGAGTAAATATTCAGTACCGGGCGACTATGAGCACGTGGAAAACATTCGGACTGTGCAGAGCAAGACAAGCAAGCACACAGTCCACTCGGTGGTAAATGAATGCTGTGGCCCATAGATATCTAGATCTATCTCAAATTAACAATAAAAAACGCAGATGCGTTGTAAATAAGTAATTGCTATTGTAAGTATTATTTATGGTACGTGAGGGTAACATGGTCACCTTAAGCTTTGCCGCCCTATAAAACCAAAACTAGCATCAAGAAAGACACATAAACACCAAGTCGTATAATATAACTAATATACCATTAAAAACATAACCTGTAAAAAACCAAGTCTCGCAACTCAGTTCTTCTACCGTAAAAAGTTGTGAAATCTATGTAATACCAAGTCGGTTAATTTATTCAGTTCCTACTTAAGGGTCCTTCTGTTTTAGGTTATTACGTAATTAGCTAACCTAACAACATTTTATAATGACCATATCAATGTTAAAAGTCTTTTATGTTTTAAATATATAGATTGACTTGGCCATCGCATGAAACCACAATGTATCTCACAAGTAATACGTATTATATTAAATTAGATTGCTTAATGCGATTGCCAAGTCAATCTACATATTTAAAACATAAAAGAATTTTAAAATTGAGATGGTCACTATAAAATGTTGTTAGGTTAGCTAATTACGTAATAACCTAAAACAGAAGGACCCTTAAGTAGGAACTGAATAAATTAACCGACTTGGTATTACATGGATCTCACAACTTTTTACGGTAGAAGAACTGAGTTGCGAGACTTGGTTTTTTACAGGTTATGTTTTTAATGGTATCTCATTTCTTTTTTATATAAGATAGTACTAATTTTTTACCTTTCCGGTACCTTCTACTTCTTGAGTAACAACAACGTACCTATGTACACCTGTAGTACATATACAAGTACACTGATTCATTCACTGCAAATGTAACTTTGTAATTCTATATATTTATATGGGATTACAAAGTTATTTATGCAGTTAGTGTATCTAAAAAACTGGACAGAAATTAACAAATGTTTTAGTTTTTCCTTGATTTATACACTAAACACTAATTGTATTCTAAATTTGAAGCTTCTACGTTTGCTAGAAGTGCCTTAGAGTTTTGATGATCGGTCAGTCAGTGAGTGACAAAATTAAGAAACTTTGACTGGTTACAATTCTTAAACTCCTGGTTCAAATTGAATGAAATTTGAAATATACCATGTCTATACTATGGTACGTATGGTACTTACTCGGTTGCTGAAAATTCAGGCTTCTAGTTTTATGGTATGGTATGGTACTTACGGTTGCTGAAAATTCAGGCTTCTAGTTTTATTGACCACGAAGTTATAAGGGGTCGAAAATGGCCTGAATTGCCTCGAGAAAAGATGGTACGGCCGTGCCGCTTTTTTGCTCGACTTGGCGGGGGCACTACCGTGCCCCCAGATATGAAAAAAATAGCAAACAAGCTTTGGCAATAATTAAGAACACTTTCAACTTAAAAAAACCAACCTCACTATACAATACTAAAATCGACTAAAATATTTATTATACCTAATGTCACCTGTCAAAATGGCATCGATATGGCAGCGCCCTTATGACTCTTTATTATTTGATTGACTGATGAAGAGCTATCGTATCACAGATCTATCTATGCAAACATGTATAACTACGTATAAACAATACAGTACGGTATGAGCGGAGGTTCAGTACCAGGCAGCCGAGAGCACCCGGAACAGATCCGGACTGCTCAGAGCCTGCAGCAGGCTGTTATCAGCGGCAGCGTGAGCGAACACACGGCACTCCACCTGTTTGAAGTCAGCTGCCAGCAGATAGTGACCGGCTCGGCCCACGTATAGCGAACGAAGGTTCAGAGTTTGTGCATCTTTAGTAGAACATGTTAAGAAAAAGAAAATTGTTACATACAAGCAAAAAAGTGTTTTTGCACAAACGTGTAGTACATTTCATCATCATCATTAAATCATAAAACAAGTCTCCTGCTGAACATAGGCCTCCCTCAAGGAATGCTACAAAGCACGGTCCTGAGCCACCGACATCCATCGACTTTCTGCGTGTCTTACCAGGTCACCACTCCATCTAGCGGCGGACCGCCCTACACTTGGTCTACCGGTACGAGGCTACAACTCGAGAACCTTTCTTCCACACCGGTTGTCGGCTTTTCGAGCTACTTCCAGCCCATTGCCAGCTCAGCTTACAATAACCCGTGTGGCTATGTCTGTTATTCTGGTCCTACTGCTAATATTCTCATTTTTAAGTTTATCACGCCCCCCAAAGCATATTAGCCCTCTTCATATCTCGCGGAGCAACCTTGAGCTTGAGTACATTTACAGAGCATGAATAAATCACTTAATTTGAGGTAACGTTTTAGTTAATGTTTTCGTATATTTACGCGAACACTACACATTGATTAAAACTACTTTTACGGATTTTATCGTGTTTAATTAATTTTATTTTATAATACCCGACGTTTCGGGTGCTTTTCAGCACCCATGGTCATGGAGGATCATGTTAGTCCATAAAAGTAGTTTTAGTAAACTTTTTAGTTTATTCTTTTATAGAAAAAGGGTGTTAAACGGCCACACAGCCCACTTGATGGTAGGTGGATGCTGTTGCCAAAAAAACATCTATATATTTCCTCGATTAAGAATCAGATGCATTACCACCCCGGAGAACTTAGTTGGAATGCCTTATTTCAAGTAAAAAGGGTCTCCGGTTCTCTACATTCACCATAGGAAACACAGAAGCAAGAGGGAATCCCGTGAGAGCGTGGTCCTTCCCCAGTCGAGACGACCTATTCGTTTTGTAAACATATAGCCGCAGCGTGGTCTCCCTCGTGTATAAATATGTAGTTCCGCTAGAATGATAAAATTCTGAGTAAAAAGTGATAATATGTATTGAGAATCAAATCACTTCTTAGAAGTAGCCGTCTTCACTACACGTATATAATTTATAGCCATACCATGTATATGATTAATTTAACAAAAGTATATTAGTGTTACCATCAACAGTGCCTTCTCTAGAAAATAATGTGAGACTGAAAGGTGTTTTCGGTACAGCTTGCAAGTTAGGACTGTTGCATGAAATCCGGCCCGTCGCTGCCGCAGTTTGTTCCCTAGTTTCAAAAATAAATCTGGCTCAAGGGACCAAGTTTATAACTAAATACATGAAATATTTATTTTGAACTTCTTTCAGATAATAACTATTGTTTAAATCATACATTATATTAAAAATAAATTAAAAGACCACCTATAAACATTCTAATATATAAAACAAATAATACATGATATATGTTAAAAAAATTGTTTACCATAAAGGCTTAACGACTCCATCTCTCACGCACTGTGCTATACCGGTGAGAAAAGTGGCGTGTGTTTTATGTAAGTGCCGGTATTCTAGGATTAATTTTGGAAGAATATGCTTATGAATTAAACTTCTCAGCTAAAAATTTAAATAATAAAATTAATTAAAAAAAGCTGAAAATGTTAAATAATAAAATATTATTAAAAAAATAAAAAGACGTCGATCTAAAAGCAAATAAAGTTCAATTTTCGGACACAAAAGACATATGTGTTAGAGTCACACTGCAGCTCTATTATGGTTGTAGCATAAATGGGTCGGCTCAACTGGGGAAGAATCAAGCTCTCACAGAATACCAGCGTAAAATAGCAACTTATTACTGGTGTGTTTCGCATGGTGCGTGTAGAGAACCGAAAGCCCTTTTTACTGGAAACGGGGCATTCCATCTTAGTCCTCACGTGGCACCCGTGCATCTGCAATCACTTACCAGGTGGACTGTGTGCTCGTTTGTCACCATATCCTATAAAAAAATTGGACTATAAGTTTTTTTTTATTTTATCTGTAATACGCTGCATCTCAATCACCATCGTACAACCTAACGTACAATGAAATAAAAAAGTATTTTTTTTTTAGTTATAAGACGTTAATATAGACGCGTTGTCACCCTAGATGGAATGCCTCGCTACCAGTAAAAAGTTTCTCTAACTCGCCATACGAAACACCGCGGCATTATTCTGCTATTTTACGCTGGTATTCTGTAAAATCGTGGTTCTTCCCCAGTCGAGCCGATCCATTCGAGCCGCAGCCGTATATAGCTGCAGCGTGGCTCTACCACGTAAATTTAATAATTTTTTCTTTAATAATAAAAATAAAATATTGACTTATCAACTTAATTTCTGATTAATAACCATAGCTTCTGAAGTAGATTTCGCTCCTTTGCAGATTGTTTCCCTAATTTTGACATTGCACTTTGAATCTAACTTCAACTCGTCGTACAAAATAGCTCTGACTTGTACTGCTGAGTTTATTTGGAAGGTCTTTCCTGCTGCCTTGTAGCATTCCTGCTCTACTGTTTTCATCTTTTCTAGTAATAGCTTCTCCATGCATTTCAGCTTTTCCAAATCCACAGATACACCTCGATATTGCATACCTGAGTGAATGGGTATTATTTAAAATACACAAAACCTTCAACGTTGAAGACAAGTCTTGGACTATGCGGGACTTATGGGTCCGATGTTTATAACAAAAAAGTATGTGCCAACTGTGTTACTATACCAAAAATTTATTTTTTAAACCACGATAAAAACTCTACTCAGAAACTCAAAAGTCTTTCATTTTATTTTATAGAATAAGGATGACAAACGACCTCGCAGTCCACCTGATGGTAAGTGGATGCTGTGGCCCATAGACATCTACATTTATCCTTGATTAAGAATCAAAACGCAGATGTGTTGTCACCAGTGTTGCCATTACAGCGCATTTGGCGCTAAATTTGGTGCAATTCTAGGGCTTATAGCGCTTTTTTTAAATACCTACATGCTATAAATATCTAGTAGACTAGTAGACTAGATATTTTCATAACGTATATATTTAAAAAAAAGCGCTATAGACCCTAGAATTGCATTAGATCTAGCGCCAAGTGCGCTGAAACGGCAACACTTGTTGTCATCCCTGAGGACCGAGATGGAATACCTCGTTCGCAATAAAAAGGGTCTCCGAATCTCTACACTCACCATACGAAACACAGCAGGATTGAACTGCTATTTTACGCCGGTATTCTGTGAGAGCATGGTCCTTCCCCGGTGGAGCCGAACCATTCGTGCTACAACTGCAGCGCGGCTCTAACATGTCAATTTATACGATTGGTTGGCTTTTTTCATACAGACTACCTGCGATGATCGGCAAAACGCGCATTTCAATCTCGACAAAGATATTCCACAGGCCTTGTCCCACCAGCGACTGCTGAAGTTTGTCCCAACACTCCTTCAACAATGAGATATACCAAGCTGACTTTTGTAGTACGCAATCTGTGGCAATCGTGTATTCCGGTTCATAGGTCAGTAGTTTTTGTAATTCGGTAAAATTATTGGGCGGATTGTCTGGATCCAGAAGGCTTCCCCCAATCTATAAAATAGGTATGACGTAAAATTTAGTTTTGAATCCCTTTGTTCTGATTAATTTAAAAATTAATTCATACACATTTGGTTGTCTCCAACAAAAAATGTTCAATTGGGTCCTTAAGGTCAGAAAAATTGTTTTTTAACTATCCATCCATCCATCTATTATAACCTATAAAAGTCCACTGCCGAACATAGGCCTCTCGCATAAATTGCCTGACAGGGGTGATTTTATCGTAGTTGAAATCATTGAAAAACTAAAAAATCTAAATAATAAAAAACTTTTCATTATTTTGAGTTGTAATCAGGAAGATGCTGCTGTCCATCAACTTGGCGGCTTATTTTGCTTAACACTTGCAGAAATTCTGACGGCAAGCAGATAGACCGGATCCTTGCAAGTGCCGGCTTATGTATGGGTAGCCTAGGGACTTCTCCCTGTTTCGATTTCCCTCTGTCGCTTCTAACGACATCCACGGGATATTATCCCTTGAGATTATGGTGCAGTTTCTATTCTTACACCGCCACTACACGGCAATATTTTATATTACAGCCTAAATAAAATGTATGTCAAATAAAATAAGAACTCACCTTTGCATCAAGGATTTTTATACCTTTATTGACATCTGAACTGAGGTATTGGAACAAATGTGTAAGAAGATTTTTACCTTCGTAACAAATCACGTTGTTATTATACATTAAATTGCGTATTTTGTCCCTGAAATATATTATTTTAAATTGAAAATATTTAATAAAATCGATAAAATGACGATGAATCGTTTTTCATTTCATAACCGATTTATACGTACTTATGTTTAGAAAAAGGATCTCTTAAATAGTAAAAATTGTCTTTAACGAGAAACATAATGCCTTGTACCCCGACATCTTCAGTGTAATGATTATTTAATTGACAATAGTCATTTCTGTGCGAAAAATAATACATGTTAATTTTACAAATATAGAATGTTTAAAAGTATTTCTTTTTAATAACAATTTCACCTGTAAATAAGTGTCATGACAACTTCTGTTGCATTATATCTAAGGTCGCTTTTATTTTCGTCAAAACAATCATTATCATTATCGAATGTAAATACTTTATAAGTTATATCTTTAACAGGAATCTGAGACTTAATTGGAGCAACAAATTTAGACTTTTTCTTTTCTTTATTTGCTTCTGTTGCGGGTGGGTCTCGTTTTTCTGATTTATTGGCGCGTTCACTGTTATTTTTTGAAGGCTTAGAAAATTTCATAATTCCATTTACATTTGATAATTTTGCCTGAACCATTTTTTTGTGCCAATCACCGCTCAAATTCTCCTCGATTGTTATTTCAACTCCATTTATTTTATTCGTATTGTCGGATGTGTTTTCTAAGATATTCATTTCTTCTACCACATGTTTTGGATCTACACCATTCAGCCATTTTTTAACAGTTTTCGTGTATTTTTCTTTCCGAAAACTAGGTCTAGATGAATCATCAAATTCTTTGGCGACTTTTTTTACTTTTTTCGGAACTTTTTCTGAAATATTAGACTTATTCTTATGTTTTTTAGCATTTTTCTCAGAATTATTTTTAAATTCCTTCTTGATATCGCGATCTTCTCGTATTTTCTCAGGAAAAGTTATTTCAAAAGTTTTAACAACTTTTGTGTTATTTGCTGCTTTATTACACGTAAGATTTTTAGTATCATCATTTTTTGAAAATAGTAGTAGTTGAGAGTCAAAAATATCTTCCCACGCTACTGGTCCTGGAAAGTCTGTAACCGTATTTTCTGATATCTGCTTGTTTAAAAGATCGTCTTTGTCATTAGAATCAGAAGGTTTGTCGATATGATCAAAAGGTATAATATTTTGAGAATTTTGTGGTACAAGCTCTTCATGAGCGCTTCTTACAAGTTCATCTGATTTAGATATTGTATTTGTATTAGTTTCCGATAAAACTACGTTTATATCAGTAAAATTTATCCAGTCATCTGTATCAGGATAACAACTATTTGTATTATTATCTATAACAGTATTCAGGTTTTCCTTATTAGTATAAAGGGAATAAGAATTATTTGAATTTGAATATCTAGGGCTGAAAAATTAATATAATTAACCCAAAGCTCGACAATTAAGCAATATAATTATGAATATTTATAGGTAACCGAAATAACATACGTTGATAATCTATCGTTTGGAAGCCGACGAGTATTTTCATACCGATTTGCATAATTACCTCTACGGAAGTGGTTTCTTTCACGAGATACATCTATAAAATAAAATGCTTCTTATTTTTTCCTTTATACTTATAATTATTTGTTAGCATTTTTTAATTAAAATACTAGCGACCCGCCCCGGCTTCGCCTGGATGGGATTTATTAGTCAGACGTTAGTAATATGGCGGTATTAAGATTTAAGATTATCATAAAAGACCATTTTCATCTTATCAATTTAAAAAACTCCAAGTTTTTTTGGATACAATTTAACCTGGATCAGCCCTTAATAGCCCTGATAGACAGAAAGACATACAAGCGGACCGACATACACACTGACAAAAATTTAAAAGTACTTCCTCATACATTCTCGTAACCCAGTCTGCTCAATAAAAGGCAGTTATTTAGATATTACTGACAGACACTTAACTTTTTTTAATATGTATAGATAGAATTTTACGTGGTAGAGCTATGCTGCGGTTATATTGAATGCGGTTATAATGAAGCGACAGTAGCCTAATGGCAAGGCGCGGACCGCGAACTCAAAAAGATCGTGGGTTCGAATCCGCCATTCGACTACTGGCGTGAACCACACATAACACAAGCAATTTAAGCTTACCACGCGTGGTTAAGGGGAATATTAGTAATGTTTATAGCATTGTTAATATTCTTTTTAAATAAAAAATAAATAAAATATTAGTACAGAGTAGCACGAATGGGTCGGCTCGATCGGGAAAGGACCACGTTCTCACAGAATGCCAGCGTCAAATAGTAGCTTAATGCTCCTTTGTTTCGTATGGTGACTGTAGAGAATCGGAGACCCTTTTTACTGAAAACGAGGCATTCCATCTAAGTCCTCACGGGTGATAACGTATCTGCATTTTGATTCGTAATCGAGGATGGATTTAGATGTCTATAGGCCACAATAACCACTTACCATCAGGTGGACTGTGTGCTCGTTTGTCATCCTATCCTATAAAAAAATAGTAGATTATTAAAAACCCGGAAAAGTTTGCGTTATTTAAATTGAAAACGAGAAAGATCTTTATCTAATTTGGTGACGGTAATGAAATTCTACGAATACAACATTGCAATATACATAATCTTTACCTACATTTTAACCGACTACAAAAAAGAGAAGTTACTCAATTGGACGGTATGTTTTTTAAATGTGTTTTGCCTCAAAACTTTTTCTGGGTGAACCAATTTTGACGATTCTGTTTCGCGTGTGGTCTCATGTAAATTTGATCAAGATCTGAACAGTAGTTTTTGAATTATCCTTAATAATGTGTATTTAATTGACTTCGCATACATTGATGATTTTCTCATTTTATTTATATGGAAGTCGGTTGTACAAAATTTTTAATTTTACGATAGTTGATTAAATAATCAGGCGTTACTTTACAGAAATCCATTATAATAAAGATATTAATTAATTTGCAACCATCCGCTAACTAAATACAACGATGTGTCTTACCTGGATTGAAGAGCACCTCCCGCCTTCCCCCAATTGCGTGTACCAATCCCGTCACCATTAATCCCAGCACCACTACTCCCGGCACCACTACTCCCAACACCACTATCCCAGGAAAGATACACCACCGACGATAATACGACACGTGTTTCGCCTCTACACGAGGCATCCTCAGGTGATATTGCTCTTCAATCCAGGTAAGATACATCATTGTATTTAGTTAGCGGATGGTTGCAAATTAATTAATATCTTTATTTTAATTTTACCACTTGTCAAACTAGTTACCATTTAAGTATAATCTGCCGCCCTATGTAACTCACTATTAGGTATTTATTACCTGTACTTATACGTTCTTGTAACAAAACACTCAAAACTTTGCGACCAAAAGGTGACAGATGTTTTTTATATTTTTCCATAGTAATATCCCATGTATTGTTAACGTTCATTTTCTTTTAAACAGCTGCTTCTGCTTCTCGTGTGTGAAGAGTGAAATGAAAATGTGAATTATGAAATTTTTCGTGCGCAATTGTTTTTTTTTTTAATTTTTCTATATCCATGGATACAGAGCCCTTCAGTCGAAATACATATTAAAGGTTCAGCCTATTCACATGTGTATTTTATTCAAAAAATTCTTCACGATACTCTGATGCGTCATATTACAAAGTTTTTTAAAGATTTTTACGTCATCTTATCCCAGTGAACAATTTAGGATCATTGTATTTCAAGAAGATGAAAAAAAAAGTTTACGTCACCTTCAAAGCCACACTTCCTACCACAATAAAACCATTTTTATGTATCAAAATCTACTTCAAATCAATGTTATCAGGAGCAACAATCCATCGTTGCTCAAGTTCAAGTCAAATCTTCTTTCGCTTTCGCGCTTTATTTCAATTCAGTGCTGCCATTCTTTCCGCTCTTTGGCAACACACAACCTATCTAATTTCACATAATTAATTTATTTCAATTCAATTTTTAATAAACAAACAATACAACTAAATAATCTAATATTTATATAAAGAGAATATTGCAAATTTTAAATTGAATAGAATCTAGGTTCAATTTCACATGTGATGTGGTTATATCCCCCTATGAGGCAATCTTTGACAGAGTAATAACGATACCTATATAATTATGTTTATAAAGGTTAAAGAGTTAAAGTTACAGCCTGTATATAGGTTATAGGTTGTCCCACTGCCGGGCACATGCCTTCTCTTATTTCTAAGTGTTTTAGAGCAAGGAAATGGCCGCCGCGCTGGCCTTCGAAATAAAATTCACATGTCGTTTTTATGCTTTATTTATTCCGTTGGTTTATCCTATAGCGATATGATCACTACATAAAGGAACTTTAATTAGCAACTCGTTAACTTTTTTGTATTCACTTAGTTTTTAACGGTTTTTAAATTCTTAGAAAAATATATATATAAATCTCTCCTACAAAGGGGGAAGCCAACGTACAGCATTGAACTTTTATGGATTGACGCTAACGGCGAATACATATAGAATAAATCTTAAATCCTATTAAAATACAAAATAAACATTAACATTTGACTGATACGTCGCTTAATATAATAAATCTTTTAAATTAAATAAAACTAAAATATTGTTAGCCAATGCAATTAAGAATATAACTGTTTAAAATTAGAAAAATTGCATTGATCACGAAATGTTGAACAGGAAATGTTAAAAATTGTTTAGATACCTAATTGATGATATGGTTGATCGTTTCGCAATTTATATGACGGATGATAGTAATAGTATCGTAGTACTATTATTTATTCTGTGGTAATAGCCTTGACTCTACCGAGAGCAGAATGCCATCTCCAAACTAAAACAAACACGCGTATAAAAGTGTACCTACCACAGTGGGTACCCATATAAAATATTTTCGCAAGAATTACAAACCCTTATATTCTATAACTTTTTATTTAAGGCATATTCGAGTAATTTTGGCTCAAGCCTCACAAATCTATGGAGTATAGGTATATCCACACATTTGATAGGTTGCACCAATATACTTTAGATTAGCATGTGAGATAAAATAATATTATAAATAGATAGATATAGTTAAATAATTAAAATAATCTATTTTCTAGAAGACAGATTGTTTAATAAACTATACATTATTATTGCTGTTTTATATTGCTTTTCCATATAATATATCCACGCATGTTATTGATATTTAATATATTATGTTATTCTCAGACTATTAACGTCAAAACTTAACCCAAATAAATCATCTGAAACAGATAAAATTCGAGTCAATATAGTAATAATCCCTACAAATAACGGTCAATAAATACAAAATGTTTAAAGACTTGCCACAATATTGTCATAAGTTATTCTTGTTCTATTATATTTAACTTGCGGAAAGTGATAAGATGATTTTGTGCTTTTTGTTTGCACATTACTCTTAAGTCTTAACTAAGTTTCGAACGTCTGATCACAAATCGTGCCAAAGCTTTAAAATATTGAATTAATTTATAGTCAATATCTTATACAGTCAACAACTCACAAAAAAATTTTCACACACATAATTGTGAGGAAATACCTTCAAACGAAAACTATTCTAAACCAATAATAACTGCGATTAAGCAAAAATCTATAATAAATATTAAAATCTAAAACTATGAAATAATTTGAGATATTTTTTTTCAACATGAAAGAAGTTAATAAACAAAAGTCATTTTTTCTTCTTTTAATTCATGGCTTATCTTAACAGAATTCTACTAATATTTAATAATTAAATTTTAATCAATTAATAGAGCAATTAATTAAGCAAACCTCAGAGTAATTTGTAATAATAATGTCCTCCAGACCAAATTTCGGCCACAGCGGCCTGCGAGGCTAGCCATCGGCGCAGGACAGGATTATAGTGCCCAAGTGTATGCGCAAACACTGGTGCAATCTCTATTCCCTCAGTCCCATAATCCGATAGGATGGTAAACCAACACGACCGGAGAGAGATCAGTCGCAGGACCAACGGCTTTACGTGCTTTCCGAGGCACGGGGGTAAGACACCGCCAACTTCCTGACTCCGAGCAACTACAGAGAATTTCTTTACTGAAAAACTCAATAATTAATTTTTTCGGCCCGGCCCGGGATTCGAATCCAGGACCTCATGATCAGCAGTCGCTACTACTACAAACACTAGACCAACGAGGCTGTTATTTGTATACAATTACTGTAAAGTGTATACAAAAAATGGCACAGTATTAACAATTTCAGTTTTTATTTAATTTTAAATGGCAATCCTAAACAACGTGAATGAAAAAAACAGCGATATATTTTTCTTTTCTACACATAGACAAAATTATGATTGAGTGCAAATTTCTCGGATTTCATACAAAGTAGATGGATCACCCCGACCCTGATACAAAGTCACATTTTGAATAAAAAATATTTAAGTAAATACTTGTGTTTCTACTTCTATGGACTATGAATTAGGTATTTTCATAGATATAGTTGGATATAGTCTAGTCACTGACCTCTATATATACAGCGTACTTGTATATATAGAGGTCAGTGAATCTAGTATATAGATTGGCGATGGAGTAATTAGGGCGTAGACAGAGAAACCTATAGAGTATAGACTAATGATTAGCGTGGCCTCGAATGAGAAAGAACGATAACGTAGTTTTAGGTTATACAATAATCTTTATGACTTTGAAACATATTTAGATAAAAATTTTAATTGTCTAAGAACTGAACTGAACAAGATTCACCAATCTTAAGCTCATAAAACACTTTTTTTCTCACTTAAACTAACTTGTAAACTCCTTAGATCGCTGTAGACTAGGTATGTTGATTTAAAATCGATTAATCGAAAAATCGGTTCTTTGGAGTAAAATTATCGATTTTTTAGATCGATTCGAAGCACCGCATCGATTCACTGAATCGATCAGAAAACCTCTTGAATCGGACTCATTCATTTGATACAAGAACTAGCTAAAATTCCCAAACTGGGTGGTGTAAGATACCACAGTTTTTTAATTTTTTGCTGTTGGGGGACGCAAAACAACCGGTTGTACTTGGTTGATAATTTAAACGCAATATATATTTGAATAAAATAAATGTTTATGAACGCATCCAACAATATCAAAAAGTTGTCATTTCATTTTCATTTCTAAAATTCTTAAGCCCACTTTCCACTAAGGGATATAATGTAAATAATATTACATCTGGAGATATAAATTAATAGCGCTCACCGTACTTTTAAATGGAACCGTTTCCACTGACATGTAAAATATATTACATCCCAAACTATAAATATTTTTTCGATCGACCGAGCGATATTTTCATATTATATTTCACCTCTTGTACTATAATATAATATAATATTATGGCTGTGAACCTGTTTGAACTGTGAACTTGTGAATTTACATTATTTATTATCAAAAATATACATACTGTGAGCTGTAAGTACAGATAGAGTACTTTTTAGATACTTAGATATTGTAAATAAATATTATACCGTACGTTGAAGTCTCTAGAGGTTTATAGTAAGGAAATAACCAGTATTGTGTTCGTGTAGCATTCATTTCGATATGATAAATAGTGAGTTATTAGATTGAAACAGATTTATCAAGAAATGTACGTTGCAGTTTGCACTTCTGTTAAAGTATTGTTGTTGTTTTTAGCCTAAAATGTCAGATAAAAGTGTTACGTGGAATCACTTTGTAAAAAAAGGATCGAGTGGAGTATGTGCGAACCACTCCTAATACAAGCGTTTCAAGCTTACCAAGAGTGGTTATAGTTCGGCCGTTCAGAGAATGCATTCCTGACACGTCGCGATTGAACTGACGACGTAACTTTGTAATGGCGTTGCAGTTACGATAAAAATATTTTTGCTGGTTGTTTACCGTTTTAACAATTGATGAGCATTAAAACAACATTATTATATCAATAATCAATGAATGTTACAATTTTGTGCCAAACTGATTGTCAAATAACTTGGTAAACAATATTTTCCTAAATCTATACTGCGCTATTACAAGGTTATGTCAGCGCTTTATATTTGTGTGCGTGCAATAACAGGCAATAACAGTATCGTAATCTGTTCGTATACAGTTATACTTTATAAAATAATACGTTTTGTTTTTCTTTTTAAGAATTTGAATATAATGGACTATAAGATAACTTTTATTAAATATAAAAATAAAATTACGACCAAACCGAACGCGCGAAAGAAAGTAGCATTTTTATGTTTAGGTTGAAAATGGTAATCCCAAATGGCGTTATGGGCCGCCATTTTGTGACGCTAAAACAGTCGTGTGTTGTCGTTTCGTGAGCATAGACCATGTTCTTCAAGTGTTTTCGATCTGTTTTTATTTGATTACCCGGCTTTCGTTTAATGGACTGTTTCTGCTTTTCAAACTGACATCGGCGCTAAATCGGACTTCGATTGTGTTTTGTATTGCGTTCTTTTTACTTTTGGTGCATAATAATG